GCGCCGGTGAGACCTGGAGGAGCTCTAAAGGAGGGGGCGGAGGGAATTCAGACCAAACTGTCCCGGGTCCCCGAGCCTGCCCCGGGTGACGGAGGTACCACCGTGGCCGCAACGTCTGGCGGGACCCCAGGGCCGTTTGTCCAGCCAGGAGCCCCAAATCCAGACCCGTGACACTCCCCCCACCGGGTGCCCGCTGTCACCACCCCCGCTCGGCGTGTCTCGCCCCCCCGGTGCTTCTCCTCCTGCCACGCGTGTCCGACACCAGCCCTTCCCCCCGCAGGGGTTCCGGCCGCCCGTGTCCGGGCCGTGCGGGGGCGTCCGGTGCCACCGTGTGCGGGGCTCCCGTCCCCGAGGCGGGGGACACTCGGGGTGCGGCTCGGAGCGAAGCAGGACGGGCATTTCCCCCCGGTTTGGGGGAAGATGCGGGTTTGTCTCCGGCCGCCCCCGAGGGCTGAAATTTCCACGTTTCTTTAAAACCCGTGAGGGTTTTTAGAGGGCACCCCCCGGCCCCTCCAGCCCGCGCTGGTTTTGCCGACTCGCAGCAAAAAAATGGGGGTAGGTGGGGAGGTTCTAAGAAAACCTGACCTGCGTTAAACTCCCCCGCAAACCCGAGGTGCTGCTTAATCCCATTAGCAGGGTGTTAATTTAACAACCATCCGGCGCTGCCGAGCACGGGGGGTATCGCGCTGCCCGGCGGCCGGGGCTGCGGCTCTCGCCTCCCTCCTGCCCTTCTCCCTGGGTTTATTCGGTGTTTCACAACCCCCGGGGGCTTGTAATGGCTCTTGCGGTCATTAACGTGATTTACTGAGGCTTTCCTCTAATTACCTCGCCCCCGAGCTATTAAACGCGTGTAAGCAGCTCCGCGGGGACCGAGGCGCAGCTCCCCGAGGCCCGATCCCGACTCTGTCCGGTCCCTCCGGGGCAGGGGCCGTCCCGGGAGGATGGAGAAGGGGGGATGCTGGGGGCACCGGGCCGTGCCCTCCACCCCGCCTCGTCCCCCACCTCGGATTTGTTTTTCCTATCGTTAAGCACCAGTTAGCCCAAGCCCTACCCTGGCTCGGGGTTGGGGGGGGACGGATCCTTGCCGGCTCCAGCTCCGGTGCGACCCCGCTGCTCTCTCGCTCCTACCGGGGCCAGAGCATCTCCGGTAGCTGCACTGGGAGCAGAGCATCTCCGGTACCGGCATCGGGAGCAGAGCATCTCCGGTATCCGCACCGGGAGAGGGGCCAGCCGACGTGCGGAGGGGCCTTTTTCCCCCCGACTTTGGCCGGGGAGAAGCCCCCGATGAAGAAGAGAGGAGAAGGGGCTTTATTTCAGCCCCGGGGCTCAGAGCCTGTTTTAAAAGTCAAATGGCTTCGGGTGCCGGAGCTCGTCCGCCGCCCCCGGGGAACAATGCGCTGCCCCCGGGCCCACCTCCCCCTGCCATCCCCCGGCCTTGGGTTTTGGAGAAGGGAGGGGGGGAAAACCCCACCAGATCTTCCCCTCCGCAAATATCTGGGGGCCGTCCCCTCGGCGGGGACCGGGAGCGGCTGGAAAAGCAGAGAAGACCCGGGTTGAAATAATCAGGAGCGATTTATTCCCCTGGAGTGACAGTTCTTTTGAGCAGTTGCCGAATGGCAGTTTCTGTCTTTCTGAAAGCTTTTCTTCCAGATTCTGTTCAGATTAGGCTGGGGAGATGAATGAGGCCATTATCCAGCCCAGTAGCTATTCTGAAATGCCAAATTAATTACCAAGGGCTAAATCAAGGCGATGGGGGCTGGAGGGGAGCCGGGGGGGGGGCGCGGCGGTTTGAGGTGTGAAAATATCTCCGCGATCTTTTAAACCCGGGCACCGGGGGCGGCCAGGGGTGCTCCCCCCACCCCCCATCCCCGCTTCATTCCGCAGGTGCGGGGGGCAGCGGAGCGGGCCTGGGAGGGCGGACGGGGCGAAGAGACCCCGTGTGGGTCCCGCTCCGGTTCCCTCCTCACGGCCCCACCCGCTGCCGCATCTCCTGCCCCCGGTGGGGCGAGGAGACCCGGGGCCTCCGGGAGGGCTGAGCCGCAGCCGGAGCCTCCGGTCCTCGCTCGGATGCTCAGGGGTTTGAGCCCCCGGGGCACAGGAGGGAGCAGCCCGACTCCCCCCGTCCAGGATCTCCCCACGCCTTCTGAGGGGCTTTGCCATCCCCACGGAGGGGATCCATGGGGCGGGGGGCGGTTCCTGACTCCCTGAGCTCCAAAAGGGCCGGCTGGGGGATGCAAAAAGCCATCAACCTGTCGGTGATTGCGGGTCGGCGGTGTTTGCCGTGAGAGGGAGAAGGAGGAGGGGAGAGGGAGCGTGTGCTCGCAGGGATGCTGCTCCGGAACATCCCGGTGCACAGGCACCCCCGGCACCGTCCCCATCGCCCGGCTTGGAGGGTTAAAAAAACCCCGAGGAGAAAGGGGAGAAAGGCTGGCCGGTCCCCCGAGATGTCCTAAGGGAATCGGGCAAGAAGGCACGGCTGGCTCTTCCCGAGCTGGTGTCCCTCTGCCAGCACAGATCCCAACATTTGCACATGACATTTAATCCCCCACCCTAAAGCTCTTTGGCTCTCGGCGGGCACTTATTGTCATTACTGTTGCTCTAATATTTACCCTTGGCTCCCACGCAAGTGTGATTTGTCCACACCCCCCCCGATCACTTTGTAGATCCCTGACCCGTCATCCAGTTTTCTCTTCACTTCCCGGGAAAGCACACCCCAGGCTTCTTTCATTTATGCAAAAAAAAAAAAAAATTGTTTAGGGAATGGCGGGTAGAGTCTGACTATCAACTTTTTTTTTTGGGGGGGTGGGGGGAGAGGTGGGGATGTGGCTGATGCTGAATCTTCTGCTGCAAATGCACATGGCCAGTGACACCCCAGTTCAGCCTGCCGAAATCGGGGGCAGAGCTGCTGGCAGCAGTGAGAGCCGAGCTAGGCAGGACTTTTCCTTACACTAGACAGTCCTTGCAAACGAGGAATAAGCAACGAGGAGATTTCCCAGGGGCTGAGAAGTGGGCTGTAGAAGGAATCAAGCCTTTAATGTAAATTGGCCGTGGCTGGCAGAGACCACCGAACACTGGGCTATTCAGCATCTCTGTGAAACTCTAATGATCAACTCGGTTTTCAATTATACACCCAGAATTGCCACCAAGTGAGATAAGCCTCTGGAATACTATATTTTCTCTTGCAAAATGTTTTCTTTAGGGCAGGCAGACTAGAAAGCTCTGTGTGCAATATTTGATTAATTTTCAGCAGCCCAGTCCGACACCCAGCAGCCCAGAGAGCTCCTGGCCCTACCAAATGGTACCCAAAAATCTCACATGCTCCCGGGGATGTGCAGGTGGATTCAGCCACTGCAGGGAGCTACAGCAGCGCAGGTACCAAATACACCCAAGAAAGCCCAGGCACTCCTTGATGTTAAACTTGTTAAACCATGTGATTTAATT